AATTTCACACAATGCTGTGCCTTAAAATTAATGGGAATTGTAAAATATCTTTGAATTATCTTGTATTTGGCTCCAAAGGAAAATGATCAGGGGAATAAAAGAAACTTTTTATCTTTTAAAATTACTTATTTATTTTTCTCATTTATGCAACAGTAATTCAGTGCCGTCTTTGAAGCCACGTGAAATGTGTGTTCATCTGAAAACTCAATTTGCAGCTTAATATTGAATATTCACTATCTCTAACAATTTTATTGATTGTAGATCCTTTATTTTGCTCCTCAGTTCACCTTGGTGTAGGCCGCATGTATCATTTGTATCATCGTTGTGATTATTGTAGAGATAAAATGATTATACTAGCTGTAGAAGATTAATCACTATTGGCACTGTAAGTGATTGATTGGTTTAAGTCACTTTACACGAAAACGTACGAAACGCTCTCTGCTTCTTCAGCGTAAAGATGTTTTCTCTTTATATAAATTAAATAAATACTACTACAACCCATTTCAATACGGCTTGGCTTTCTGAGATATTGTGATGGGCATTTTATTGACCAAATGTTTAATTGACTAATTCAGGTAATGTTCCAGCAGATCGATTGAAAATGAGCTGCCTATTATACACAATGACAAACCTGTTTTCCCAATTTTCTACAATGCTCGTCAAAGGCTCATTTCTATTTTGGGTGCAGTCTTGTTTCAGCTTGTCTTATTTGACACACACACACACACATACACACACTCATTCTTGGCGGCTTGTCAAGTTTTCCACTTTGAACCAGCTGGTGTTAACAGCATATTTATTACATCTAATCCCTTTATGACAATGGGGGAGAGACAGCAGGTGTGAGGAATGCGTAACTTTTACCAGCGGGGGAAGTCATTAATCTCAAATCCATCTCTGTCATGAGACAGTTTTCCTGAAAGCTATACATCCTCTCAGCCTGTGTTATCTCTGAGTTTGTACATCACCACAGTTTTTTACCCATTTTCATAGCATGAATTCCTTAATATATTAAAGTTCCAAGGTAATTAGCCCCTATTGTCAGGTGCATTGATTAGGATACTTAACCTTTTGAAACGTAGCAGGACTGCAGTTGCTCATTAGGATGTTAGTTCATCTAGCTTTATTCAGCACTTGGTATTTTGCATTAAAGAGCAGCAGGCAGTCTGTGAAGTGTAATTGGGTTCATAAGAGGTGTGTAATGAAGCTACCAGATTGCAAAACCTGGACTTTTTTTTTTTTTGGCAATCCGAGTCAGGTACACTATAATCCAGCTCTCAAAAGCATTTCTCAAAGGACTTTACAAGGACAAGACTCCACCACTCCATGCAATGTACATATACTTATTCCTTCAACAATTAGTTAACAAGGTTTTATGTTATATTACCTCCATGCTGCCGATAGCTACGGCCAGAGGCATTTTGTTTTCAGGTTGTCTGTCCGTCCGATTCTTCTGATTGCGATATCTCAGGAACGCTTTAAGGGAATTTCTCCAAATTTCACACAAGTGTCCACTTGGACTCGAGGATGAACAGATTACATTTGGGTGGTCAAAGGTCAATGACCTCACTTCTGTCACATACCTGTGAGTTTGACCGGTTGGCGGAGGCATATAAATGTGAAACGTAAATTACAGTTGTATATTGAATATCTATAGGTCTTGGACTGTTTCTTAGTCACCTTGGACTCTATAAACCTTTGATGGGCATTTCTGCTTTTTTTGTGACATCTTATATAAACAATTACTTAAAACAATGTGAATAGATCCCTTTTCAACATGTTTCCAGTGTAAGACATTAGTGGTTTAGTAAAATCTTGAATTAACACACTAGACTTGACAGTAATTTACCATTTAACCCTTATTCAGACTGCAGTGGTGCATTAAAGCTATGTTATGCTGAATGGAAAAGGCATAGGATGTGCCGATCAGGTTTTCCTCCAGGTGTTTTTATGAAGTTGATTGTTGGTAGAAAACAGCTGCACCTCTGTTTCCCGAAGGCAAATTATCAGAATAAGTGTGATTTGTCTACAGCTTGTTACTCGCATGCGTCAGAGGACAATTCGCTAACATTTTGAGTTTTGAATTGCAAGAAAGTGGTGCCAGAATCTTCATTGGTGGGGTTTATGTCACAATGAATGACGGTCTGTCACACCTCCTGGCATTTGTGCCTTTAGTGTGAATGATGGGTTAAACCCTTCAAATTTCACTGCTGTGTGAATTGGGCCTACACGTCTTGGGTTACGTGGAACCCGCTGATATTACAGAAGCACATGCTGACGTTTATTGAATCGGATACATTTACTGTCTATGGGGATAATGATTTTGTTTTGAAGAACCAGTATAATTTTCATAGTAACAGATATTTGTGCAACCCAGTAAATTATAGTGTTCACAAAGCGACTGCATGAAAGTATTTCACCAGCGAATGCTGACTGCTGCTGATACAGTTTAAAGTCTATTCTGGAGGAACACACAAAGGCAACAATGGTGCCTGTGCTTTCTGGTGTGGCCCATCTTTTCTGTTCATCTTTGGGAACCAGCAGATGGGAGGATCAAGAATTTTGTCTTATTTACTGTTCCTGATTTGAAATTGCCTGTCACGTCTGCCAGTTCAGTGATCAGCCATCTCCGCTGATCCAACAATAAACATTTGGTATTAACACACTCGTACTTCTCTGGATATTATGCAGGACTATTATATTACAGCCTGCGTATTTTGATAACTATGGAGTATATGGAGCCTGTTTTATCCCCTCCTTTTCTTAAAATTAGAAACTATTTAGCACTTTGAAACTTTAGTAAGAACAAACTGAGAAGTATGATTGCTTGAAATTGTAATTTTTTTTTTCAAATGTTTTGGATGAGTGTTTTCAAGATAGGGTTTTTATATTATAGCAGATTAGCTCATGTGGAATTATTGCTGTTAACAAATTACTTTTACAGTTTACACCTCCATAGAGGATTAAACCTCAGAGTAGAAAACTTGAGTGCAAGTGCAAGCTCATGTTATTTAATGATTTTTTCCTTTACCTTTCAGAGCACTTATGGAGGATTAATACCGATAAAAATCTAAAAAGTAATGTGCGAGGTTCTTGATTTTTGTGCGTCATGCTCCAGCAATCTGGCACACCTGTGAGCGTAACGTAGAGGAAGACTAAAGTCAAATTAATATCAGCTAAATACTCTACGTCCTGATCCATGCTGGGTGAGCTGGCCTGCTCTGACAACTATTGTAATAGTCTAACAGTCACCACGCTCAAGTTTTTGAATTTCTCAGTTGAGTGCACTCATGGATAAAAAAAAAAAAGTAATTTTCCAGCAATATCATGTCTTCTTGAATTTCATTTTGGTTCTTCTTTGACCTATTTTCAGTGAAGCCACAACAGGGGAAATACACAGGATAAAGTGGGCAAAATAACGGTTGAATTCAATAACATCAAGGATGACCCCAAGGATGACTATGTAGTGTTTTAGGAAAAACATTTATACACTCAGGTACATCTGTACATTCTAATGCAGTTCAATACAGCCACTCTGCCTTGAATAACACCTCTTTGATAGTGTTAGAAATGCATCATAGGCATCATAAAAATCAGCTTCATGGCTTTACAGGTGTGCCTAATAGAGTGGCCACTCAGTCTGTACTGTTGAACCACGGCTTTGTCTAACATTTGTTTAGTCAAAATGATTATGAAAGGTTGCTGCCGAATGTAATTGTTGCATTTCGGTCTAAGCTGAATTTGTGTGAGCCTATGGGGGTGTCTTTTTGTAAGTATTTATCTCACCTGCAAAGGCTGGCTATGGATTAGTTGAGCTGTATGCTCATGCAAAAAAAAACCCCACCTAACCACCGGTGATGTATGCAATTTGAAGATAGAGTAATCTCCTACCAGGAGAGGCTTTCTGGGTTGGTGCAAGGCAACCAGGGACTATTGTAATACAAAAGAGAATGTAATTTGGCAAGACACATTTTATTCACATGGTCATAAATAGTTCAGTTAGCATTTGTGCGCCTAAGAAACTTCCCTTTACTAATCCACATCCTTTAGTTACGAGAGGTGACCAGGTAAAAGTTGGTAGTTGTGATGTGTGCTTATTTTGCCACTGAATCACACAGGTCAAAAATGCTTTGTTTTTCTGTTTAATGCAAATGGTAGTTCCTAAAAAGCACAGCAAGATAAAAGGATAAGAGGTCGCTTTGATAATGCATTGTAATTAGCAGGTGTCTTTTCTCAGACATTATAAAAGCTGTTATTAATTCAGCGCAACCATTTTGCACGTTAAAGACATTCAGAGCCTTTGTTGTTTTCATTTGAGTAAAATCAGTGCAGACATTTTTTAAACATAACTGAGAAAAACAAAATAAAGACTTGAAGCAAACTTACTTCCATTATCTCCATATTTAAAGTTCCTGAAAACATGTTTTCTCATCACACTTCTTATTATGAGTGGTAGGATCTGACATGGAAAAACCATTTTATGCCAAAGTTTGAACCATGTTGGGTACCTTGTAATTCCTTTTTTTTTTTTTTATTCTCTTCTTAGATAAAGCTAAAGACACATCTGTGCAATAATTAGAATTCTCTAACATTTGATTCGGTATCTGATCAAACCACGCCCTCACAGTCCTGATGAAGCTGGGTTTTTCTTTTCATTTATTAATAAATAATTCAAAACCACCACAGTTCACAGTCCTGTTCATATTGTCCAGCAAGAGAAAAATCATGTAATGAAGGGGCAGCTGCACTTTTTATTCAAAAATATAACAACCACCAGTTTTACTAATAAATTAAATGTGCCCCTTGTAACACTTGTCGTTTTAATGGCTCAGAAACGGTTAACATTGCAGTAATATCCCACACAGGCAATAGTGGTCAGTCACCTGTAAGCTTGCTAGTAGTTATCGTATGCTAGTGCTGGTTCTTTAAAGAGTCTTTTGCAATACAGCCTGTTATCTGGTGATTACAACAACATCATGGTTCATTGTCTCCCCCCACAGATACATGATGCTGATCAACGGAAAAAACGAAGTGTTCATGATCGACAGAGACAACACTGTTTTCCACATAGAAAACCTAGAGTTTCCTTTCCGGAAGGATCCACGTGTCCACTTATCAAATACTCTACTGGATGGGGTGAGTTGTTGTTCTGCCTAATACTTTAAATCCCTAGTTCTATGAAATAATAAACCACACATACTGTAGTTTGATGATAGAGCCTGCTGACAGGACAATGAGCATTCATGTCCTGGAGAAGCTGTTCATGAAAGGCTTTCCAGTTTCCTGTCACTGTCGTGTCTCTGTTCCATGTTGTGTTGTATTTCTCAGCACCATAGTGCCCAAGGTGGAGGCAGGGGCCTGTGACTTTTCCTCGCCCTGTAATGTTGGTGCAGATTTTATTGCCTTGTTTGTGTAGTATAGATCACACAGGTTACCAGCTCAACCCAGCAGCAGCTACAAATGCAGGAGTCATTATACCCCTCCCTGAACTGAAAGCATAGGCAAGGAAATAGCTGCAGTAAGAAGAGATTTGATTATAAATGCCTGGCAGTGCTTGTGTTTGTTATTCCAGTGCTGGAGATAATAGATAAGTTGCCTGTCACAGTTTTTATTTAGCTCCAGGTTTTTAGTTTTAGACATTTTATGTAAATAAGGTATGTGCTTCCTCTCGGCTTAATAGTCGCTGATGAATGTGGTGAATTTAGTTTCCTCACTCAGGCAGGACTTCTAATTACAGTGTATTAATGCTCCTATGAAGAAGTGGTGCGCATGTGTGTTGAGATTGCTACAAGGTTTGTTTTGACTCGTTAATTCTTCTGTTGATGCTTTTGGCTCTCGGTTCAGACAGGCTGTGTTTGCCTCTTTACAGTGAGTCCCTGTAGAGGCTCAGCTGTGCTGTTTGATATGTTTCATCCTTAGCCCAAAGGCACTGGTCTTTGTCTTTACATGCTGGTTTTTAATGGGCCTTACATCAGCTTGAGTTTCGATATATTGGATGAATGCACACCGTAGATCTGGATTTCTGGCAGGTTCCTTTGGTCATACTAATGTATTCATCTGTTGCTGTCTGTCTGTGCAGTGACTCAGTGAGCCAAATGCACACTGATGGTGTCCTCCTGGAATGACATCATTTCTTCCCTCCAAGCCCTCCTACTCTGCACCCACCACTGACTCTGCCATTCTGGCTTTGGCAATTTCATGTTGATGTTTGGTGCTTTTCTCCCTGTGAAATCATGACACTGAATAATCTGTAACTTCCAAAAATGCAAGTAAAGTGGCGCCCACCAGTACCAGTGAAGCCAACGTCGAAGGGCCTCACCACTGGCTGTGAGGTGTTGCATCCAGTATCTGCCACTTACAAAGTCCCTGCTCCTGTGGTGAACTAGAACAGTTTTTTTTCCATAAGACATTTTGAGATTTGTTCCATCAAAGAGATTAAAGGAATAGATTGAGGAATTACTGTAGATAAAGAAGATTGAGCCCACTCTCGTGCCTGTACAGTATGAGGTTGCCAGCACATGAGCACAAACTGCAGGAATTAACTGGTCCCTGCCCTGTCCAGCACATAATCCCCTATAAAAATATTTGGCCCAGGGCAAAAGGCTTCTAAATACACAGCATCTTCCCTTAAAATGGTTTTCACGTAGAATGAATGGCATAGATTACCTATGTCAAGAGATTTGAAACAGAGACTTATTGAATCAAAGATTATAAACAGGGTCTGTTGCCATCCAGACTTCAACAGGATGATGGTGGTGCACAGAGGACAGCGGCACTCGGGTGTATATGCTGTGGAGATGCCCACCACTGCGAGTGTTCTGGTCAAATATCTACAGTTACATCCAAATTACTACAGGTCAGAATATCCCTTTCATTCCCAACTTGGCAGCTCCGGATAATTTATCAGCTGCTCAGGCAGGTTGGCATTTATTTATTTACTTTTTATTATGACTTTATTATCACTGTCCACCATCTTATTGTGAGTTTTCTTATTTTTGCCAAAATATAACAGGTTATGGTTAATGCAGCTTTGAAAGAAACACTGTCTGTACTCACGTGTTGTACAAACATGTGTGTGTGTGTGTGTGTGTGTGTGTATATAGAATTATAGATTGTGGTTGGAAAACATATTTAATATATCAGCTTAATGGTGATGTGGCTTACTAACATTCAGCACGTACTGTATGGAACAGCAGTTGTCTCAACATCGACCGAGGTCTAGACAAGAGAAATAGCTGTCTGGG